AGTACAATGGCGTGATCTCGGCTTACTGCAACCTACGCCTCCCGGGTTCAAGCAATTCTTCTGCCTCAGCTTCCTGAGTAGCTGAGATTACAGGCGCGCTCCACCACGCCCTGCTACTTTTTGCATTTTTAGTAGAGACGGGGTTTCACCATGCTGGCCAGGCTGGTCTTGAACTCCCGACCTCAGGTGATCCAGCTGCCTCAGCCTCCCAAAGTGCTGGGATTACAGGGGTGAGCCACTGTGCCCGGACCCCACAGTTTGTTTTCATATTAGGGCAGTTGGAGGAACTGAACTTTGATCCTGATCCTTTATATACCCCCATGGTGAAACTGAGCCCATTTTACTTAACATGTAATATATCTGTGCTTTAGGAAAACTTGATAGAGAAGATTATATGCAGATATAAAATATCTAAACTCATTTGTTATGAACCGGCAATAATGAGGGAAAACTTGGACATACACATACGGATTTTCTTGAATTAAAGAGAAAAAAAAACCAGACACTGACAAAGGAGAGTTGAACTGAGAAATGGTACCCTGAAAACTGCAAAAATGAGGGAAAGAGGCAGTGGGCCACAAAGAACTTTGTCCTTTTCAGAGCTCCCCAGAGAAGCCCTGTCCCCTTCCCCCCACCCCCTGCCAGAATGTTGGGTTTCAAAGAATGAGCAGATTAACGGATATCAAGTTGTGTGGCCTGAGCTGAGGATAAAGAATAATTTGCCTGAGTTACAGTACTGGCTGGATCACTACAGGCCTTCTGCTTGGAATATCTCTCCATGAAGGTAAAAGGAATATAACTAAGGAAGATTACAGTTGTTGCCGTTGGAAGGAAGACATACTAAAGAAACTGCCGAAGGCCAGGAGAGAAGCAGGAAGAGAAACACAGCTTGAAGTTATCTGTAAGACTCAGAATTGGGCAAGAACTGCCAGTGAGGGAGCCAGTGTAGATCTGAGACTAACATCTGAGCCTCCAAAGGTTTGTGTGCAAGGGGGAGCTCTGCTGATGGATATAGGCCCAGAATCATTAACTGATTTATTTGGGCCATGTCAGTGCTGGCATTATTAAAAGACTCTGCCAACATCCTGCTGTATCTATGGAAAAGCCAAGTGGCCTTGGAAGAGGTTAAGATAAAGTTCCAAACTTGGGCTCCACAGAAGTGGAACTTGAGAATGGGGCTAGTACCCGGACCTTCATGTATCAGGTTAGAGATTTTGCTGCTTTTGGTGATTTTTGTGCCAAGCATGCACTGTCACCTGGGATCAATCTATTACTCTTTCTATGAAATAATTATTCCAAAGAGGCTGACAGTCCAGGGAGGAGATAGCTCAGTGGAAGGACTGTCCTACTTGCTATTTATGCAAGGCCAGAAGCACTTGGTTCACCTGAAGGTGAAGAGAAGCCATTTTGTGAATAACTTTCCAGTCTACAGTTACCACAATGGCATCCTGGGGCAAGAATCGCCTTTCATCTCACATGACTGCCACTATGAAGGCTACATAGAAGGAGTGTCAGGTTCTTTTGTTTCTGTCAACACCTGTGCAGGTCTCAGGGGCATCCTGATTAAGGAGGAAAAATCTTACAGCATTGAGCCCATGGACTCTTCAAGACGGTTTGAACATGTGTTATACACCATGGCACATGAAGCGCGAGTCTCCTGTGGTGTCACTTCCAGAGACAGCCATGTGGTGTCCACTAGCTGGCAACAAGGGAGCAGGAAGCCTCATGATCTACAGGCGCTGTCCTACTTGTGGTCACACACCAAGTACGTGGAGATGTTTGTTGTTGTCAACAACCAGCGGTTCCAGATGTGGGGCAGTAACATCAATGAGACGGTCCAGAGAGTAGTGGATGTCATTGCTCTGGCCAACGGCTTCACTAGGGGAATAAACACAGAGGTGGTGCTGGCCGGAATGGAGATTTGGACCGAGGGGGACCTAATAGATGTCGCAGTGGACTTGCAAATCACACTCAGGAATTTCAATCGCTGGAGACAAGAGATGCTCTTCCGTCGTGCGAAGCACGATGTTGCCCACATGATCGTCGGGCATCATCCTGGACAGAATACGGGCCAGGCCTTTCTCAGTGGTGCCTGCTCAAGCGGTTTTGCGGCGGCTGTTGAATCCTTCCATCATGAAGATATGCTGTTGTTTGCAGCCCTGATGGTCCATGAGCTCGGGCACAACCTGGGTATTCAGCACGACCACTCGGCCTGCTTTTGCAGAGAGAAGCACTTTTGCCTCATGCATGAAAATATCACAAAAGAAAGTGGCTTCAGCAACTGCAGCTCTGACTACTTCCACCAGTTCCTTCGAGAACACAAAGGGGCCTGCCTATTTAACAAGCCACGGCCCAGGGGCCGCAAGCGTAGGGATTCTGCCTGTGGAAATGGCGTGGTGGAGGACACGGAGGAGTGTGACTGTGGTTCTGCCTGTCACCTCGACCCATGCTGTGATCCCACATGTACTCTGAAGGAGCATGCTGAGTGCAGCCATGGCCTCTGCTGTCTGGACTGCACTTTCAGAAGGAAGGGGTTTTTATGCCGTCCTACTCAGGATGAGTGTGACCTCCCAGAATATTGTGACGGTAGCTCTGCAGAATGCCCTGCAGACAGCTACAAGCAAGATGGCACGTTGTGTGATAGAATTCACTATTGCTCTGGGGGTCAGTGTAAGAACCCTGATAACCAATGTGTGAATATATATGGGTACCCTGCAAGATCTGCCCCAGAAGACTGTTACATTTCAATGAATACCAGAGGAGACCGGTTTGGAAACTGTGGCCATCCCACTGAGGATCAGCAAACATATGTTACATGTTCAGATGATAATGTATTTTGTGGGAAACTCATATGTACAGGTGTTCAATCCTTACCACGAGTCAAAGCTCAACATACAGTGATCCAGGTCCCTCATGACAATGACTGGTGCTGGAGCATGGATGCCGATAACATTACTGATATCCCTGATAATGGCAACGTGCACGTCGGCACTTCTTGTGCCCCAAACAAAGTCTGCACGGATTACTCCTGCGTTCATCACTCCATACTCCTGTATGACTGCAGACCGGAGGAATCGTGTCATGGGAAAGGAGTTTGCAACAATTTAAGGCACTGCCATTGTGAGTCTGGTTTTGCTCCTCCTGACTGTAAAAATCCAGGAAATGGAGGCAGTGTGGACAGTGGCCCCCCGGGAATGCAAGTTACCAACAACAGTGAAAGTGGTAGTGAAAGTATTGCTCGTGGTCAAAGTCTGAGACAAGACGTAGACTATAAACTGGTAGTGTTACTAGTCCCTTTGTTTCTTGTACTATTATTGTGCTCTCTACTTACAATATCCTACCTCTGCTCTGAAGTTCAGACAGCAGTGGCTGAAGTAGAGGAGTCATCAACAGAGACAACACTGGAATCAGAGTTGACTTCAGCAGATCTAGTCCCAATAGCAGAAGAAATCCTACCACCAGGTGAGGAGGCCCCACCACCAGGAGAGGAAGCTCCACAACCAGGAGAGGAAACTCTACCACCAGGAGAGGAAGCTCCACAACCAGGAGAGGAAACTCTACCACCAGGAGAGGCCCCACCAGCAGCAGAGGCCCCACCAGCAGCAGAGGCACCACCACCAGAGGCTGCCCCACCACCAGAGGCTGCACCACCACCAGAGGCTGCCCCACCACCAGAGGCTGCCCCAGCACCTGAGGCTGCGCCAGCACCAGAGGCTGCTGCCCCACCACAGGCCCCGCCACCAGAGGCTGCCCCTCCACCAGAGGCCCCACCAGCACAGTAGGCCCCTCCACCAGAGGCCCAGAAAGAGCCCACACCAAAAGAGGAAGCAGGTAAAAGACAGGGAAGGCTAAAAGAGAAGAGTGAAGGATGAAGCCAAATATCTCAAACATGTCAGGCATTGAGTGGGAATAAGAAGCTCATAGAAGCAAATGTGAAGTGAGAATTGGTGTCTTCAGAGGCTGTGACTGGACTATGTAATCTGTAGAAACATACTAATATACGAAGAGGGATTTCCCAACATACGGTATTCATTGTAAACTCATTATATTTTCATACATAAAATCATATATAAAATATTCTTTATTTCTGTTTTTTCATGTTTCATGAAATAATTTTAGCTCTTCTCATGGGTCTTTGCTATTAATGTCTTGTTTCAGTTGGGCCAGTTTCTGAGTCACCCAGTTTGCTTTTCAGGGCATATAAACTTTCATTCACATGATCTGACATAATGTATTATCAATTATCCATGCCTGCATTGTTGTGACTAGGTTATTCATCCCAGTAATAGTGACCCATTATGTTACGAATGTTATTATAATGATTGAATGTTCTAATAAGCCCTGTCTGCTTCTATTCAATAAATACAGGTGATTTTAAATAAAAGTTTTTTTCCACATGAATCATCACTCCAGACTCCAAGCAGCCTAGTGCTTGGGATCCTTTATTTTGGGGCTCTATGAAAGGGGGTAAACCTGATCCAGGGACATCTCACACACTCCGTTTGGGTGTATGGAGGAGGGAAGGCAACCTAGGCAGTATGTGAAGTAGATTGTAAAGTGTAAAGTGCTGAGTTCACATTTGAAGTATTTATTTCATTTTTTTTTTGTCTTAATGATTCTACTGAAGTTCCTTTTTCCTTTATTGACAATTTATAAGAACATCTTGAATTACAAGTAACAGAACTTTTTTTTTTTTCCCTTTGAGACAGACTCCCACTCTGTTGCCCAGTCTGCAGTGCAGTGGCGCGATCTTGGCTCACTGCAAGCTCCACCTCCCGGTTCACGCCATTCTCCTGCCTCAGCCTCCCAAGTAGCTGGGACTACAGGTGCCTGCCACCACTCCCGGCTAATTTCTTTTTGTACTTTTAGTAGAGGTGGGGTTTCGCTGTGTTAGCCAGGATAGTCTCGATCTCCTGACCTTGTGATCCGCCCACCTCAGCCTCCCAAAGCGCTGGGATTACAGGCATGAGCCACTGCGCCTGGCCAGTAACAGAATTTTCAGTATGGTAGTCATTTCTCTGTGAAGTAAGGACATAGTAAGTATAACAGTAACATTCTCCATTCTGTGCCAGGCCCAGTGCTAAACACCTTACATTCACTGTCTTCATTTAATCCTCCCAACTGCCCTGTGAAACCTCCAACTTGTACATGAGGAAACAGAGACTGAAGAGTTTGCTCTAGTGCTAGCCAGTAAGTCGTGGGACCTGCATCCCTCCCCAGGAATGAGTGAATCTATTGCCTCATGATCCTTTTCCTTCAGTTAAAAAAAAAAAAAAGGCCGGGCACAGTGGCTCACACCTCTAATCCCAGCAATTTTTAGGAGGCCGAAGCGGGCAGATCACCTGAGGTCAAGAGTTCAAGACCAGCCTGGCCAACATGGTGAAACTCTGTCTCTACTAAAAATACAAAAATTAGCCCGGAGTGGTGGCAGGCGCCTGTAATCCCGGCTGAGGCAAGAGAATCGCTTGAACCCAGGAGGCCAGGGTTGCAGTGAGCAGAGATCGCGCCATCACACTCCAGCCTAGGGGACAAGAGCAAGACTTTGTCTCAAAAAAAAAAAAAAAAAAAAAGTGAGGGAAAAGACATGTCCTTAACTTCCCAGAACACGGCTTTATCTTCAGTGACTCTAATGAAACCAAAGCCGTACAAATAAATGTCGATCCTATCATGAACCTATGGCATTGTGTAGTCATTACGGATTAAAGTGTCTTTTCCCCTACTACATCCTGACAGATGGCTGGTAATAAGGTTGGCATCTTATTTAGCTTTGAGGGCCCAGCTCATGGTAGGTGCTCAATAAGTGTTGGCCAAGTCAATGACTTAACCAGAGCCAACCTCAGAATATGGGGATTGCTAGTCTCTACGCATGGCACTTGCAAAATATTTCTCAGGTACAACAGAGCTACAGACTGAGCAAATGTTCTGTCTCAGGGAAGGTCCTGAGCATCAGTCCCCAAGCATACACTTGCCGAGCCTCTCTTCTAAATGCCTACTCTATGCGCGATAACAGAGCAAACCAAAGGATAACACCTGCTGTCTGCTTTCAAGAAGCTTATGTTAGTTACTCTAAGTGGAATAAAAACTTCAAAGCAAAATCCGAAACAAAGTTTTCAGTTGTGGATATGTGACTACAAGGAAAACAGGTAGGAAAACCAGGTCACAAGTTCTCAGGTCTGATTCTGATAATCAAATCCAGGATAAATTTTATGCCAAAAGATCAAAATTCACAGTGAGAGACCATGGTATCAGGCTGGGTGTGGGAACTCACGCCTGTAATCTGTAGTGCACTTTGGGAGGCCAAAGTGAGAGGATGGCTTGAATCCAGGACTTTGAGACCTGTCTGAGCAACATAAAAAAATTTACCAAGAAAATTTAAAAAAATTAGCTGGGCATGCTGGTGTGCACCTGTAGTCCCAGCTACTTCAGAGGCTGAGGCGAGAAGCTCCCTTGAGCCTAGGAGTTAGAGGCTGTAGTGGACCACAATCGCACTACCACACTCCAGCCTGGGCAACAGAGTGAGATTCTGGTTCAAAATAAAAACGCAAGAACCCATGCTATCAGTCGGTGGGCACTTGAGAGTTTTGAGGACAAAAGTGAAACTGTATAACTAAAGTTCTCCAAATGTAAACTTGTATTAGAGACTTCTGCAAAAGATATGAAGATGTGTGCTGAAAAGCACTTGTACAGAGAACTGGGGAGTTACAGAAGGGGTAACCCTCATAGAGGGCATGCTGATGGTGACTGTAATAAAAGAATGAGCATCACATATTTAAAGCATCAAGGATAAGGGAATCATGACATAAATCATGATTTATACATAGGATGATTATTCTTGGCTGATTTAATAGAACTCTTTAAGGACCATAAGGCAAGTAGATAATTGGGAATCAACACATAAGGCCAACAGCATTTCACAGCATTGGACAAAGAAGTTAAGAAATTTGGCAAAGAAGGAGTTTTTTTGTAATAGACTTTTAGGATTTTAGTTGCTTATCTTTATGACTGATTTGAGCTTCAGGGTTACAAGACCATGTTGAAGATGAGAAACCGAGATAAGAACAAGTGTTTGGTTTTTATTCTTTTCTTTTGAGACAGGGTCTAGTTCTGTTGCCCAGGCTGGAGTGCAGTGGCATGATCATGGCTCACTGCAGCCTCAAACTCCTGGGCTCAAGCAGTCCTCCTGCTGGAGTTTCTCAAACAGCTAGGACTACAGGCACATGCCACCATGCCTGAGTAATTTTTTAAAAAAATTCTTAGGGCCGGGCACGGTAGTTTACGCCTGTAATCCCAGCACTTTGGGAGGCCGAGGCAGGTGGATCACTTGAGGTCAGGAGTTCTAGACCAGTCTGGCCAACATGGTGAAACCCCGTCTCTATCAAAAATATAAAGAATTAGCCAGGTATGGTGGTGCATGCCTGTAATCCTAGCTACTCAGGAGGCTGAGGCAGGAGAATCACTTGAACCCGGGAGGCGAAAGTTGCAATGAGCCGAAATCATGCCACTGCACTCCAGTCTGGGTGACAGAATGAGACTCCATCTCAAAAAAAAAAAAATTCTTCTTAGACATGGAGATCTCAGCATGTAACACAGGCTGGTCTCAAACTCCTGGCCTCAAGTGATCCTCCTGTCTTGGCCTCCCAAAGTGCTGGGATTACAGGTATAAGCCACCGTGCCTTGCCCAAAACAGGTATTTGAATAGATGTTCTCAGAAATGATGTTAGGAAATTGGATATATTTATAAACTCTCACATGAATTGTTACTTTTTTATATTTTTCGTAGATATGAGATTTCACCATGTTGGCCAGGCTGGTCTTGAACTCCTGTGCTGAAGCAATCTGCCTGCCTCGGCCTCCCAAAGTGCTGGGATTACAGGTGTGAACTACCACGCCCAGCCACAAGATCTGTGTTTTAGAAAAGTAATTCTGGAGCTGGGAGGGGATTTTGTAAAATCCAGAGAGCCAGAGGCAGGGGAAGAGTTAGGAGGATGATGACCATTCAAGTGAGAGAAGGCAAGGGTGCAGGCAGTGGGAATGGAGAGAAGTGAACTGGTTTTTAAGATATTCTGGAGAATGGTAAGAAACTTTCTGTCCAGTATGTTCTTCTCCACTGCATTTTTTTTTTTTTTTTTTTTTTTAGAGCAGGTTCTCTGAAAAAGCCTGTTGCCTAGGCAGGGGTGCAGTGGTGCAATCCTAAACCTGAGAGAGATATGAGTGAAGGAGGAACAGAGAGGCTCAGGCATAGCACCAAGGGCCCACCTGAGGCTGGAGCTCAGAAACTAGCTTGTGCAGCCAGTTCGCACGGCTGAGTAATTTGGTCAGCAGTGCTGGAAAGCCTAGACATGCAGGCATAGAAAACCTGTGCCTGGGTTGATTTAGGATGGAGAACTGGCCAACCAGCCACCACAGAAGGTCAGAAGGAGAGGGATGGCTCTCTGACCCTTTGTCCTTCCTCCTGGCTGGCATGAGAATGTGATAGCAGGAGGTGAGGCAGCCAAGACGGACCACGAGGTGAGAGTGGAAATGAAAAGTCACAGCAGAGCAACATGCTAGAAAGAGCTGGAGTCCCTGATACCACAGAGTCACATCACACAGTGCCCCAGACCACATACCTGGGCTTTTATGTGCAAGAGAAGGAAACTTCCAGCTTGTTTTTTTTTTTTTTAGGTTTTCTACTGCTTGAAGCCAAAACAACTCTAATAAAAGCTGAACTGAGTAGAAAAGAAGTAAAACCAGGAAGGGGCTGATAAAGAGAAGACCAGAGACCAGAGGGCTGACTCTTACCCTGTTGGTCCAGAAGCAGGTTTAGAGGGAGTGGGGTAGAATAGAGGAAGGCTGTAATCAAAGGGGGAATTTCAGCATTCTAGATTTCAGAAGCAGCACAGTTCCCAAGAAAAAGTGGTTAAATTCTTTGTTTTTCATTTTTGTTGTTGTTGTTTTGAGACAAAGTCTCGTTTTGTTGCCCAGGCTGGAGGGCAGTGGCACAATCTCGGCTCTCTACAACCTCTGCCTCCCGGGTTCAAGTGATTCTCCTGCCTCAGCCTCCTGAGTAGCTGGGATTATAGACGTGCACCACCATGCCCAGTTGATTTTTGTGTTTTTAGTAGAGATGGGATTTTACCATGTTGGCCAGACTGGTCTTAAACTCCTGACCTCAAGCAATCCACCCACCTCAGCCTCCCAAAGTGCTGGGATTACAGGCGTGAGCCACCATGCCCGACCTTGTTTTTTTGAGACGGACTCTCACTCTGTTGCCTAGGCTGGAGTGCAGTGGCGCGATCTCTGCTCACTGCAACCTCCGCCTCCTGGGTTCAAGCGATTCTCTTGTCTCAGCCTCCTGAGTAGCTAGGATTACAGGTGTGCGTCACCACATCTGGCTAATTTTTTTTTTTGTATTTTCAGTAGAGACAGGGTTTCACCATGTTGGTCAGGCTGGTCTCGACCTCTGGCTAATTTCGTGTATTTTTAGTAGAGATGGGGTTTTACCATTTTAGCCAGGATGGTCTCAATCTCTTGATCTTGTGATCTGCCCACCTTGGTCTCCGAAAGTGCTGGGATTATAGGTGTGAGCCACTGCGCCTGGCTGTTTTTTTGTTTTGTTTTGTTTAGACAGGGTCTTGCTCTGTTGCCCAGGCTGGAGTGCAGTGGTGTGATCATGGCTCACTGCAGGCTCAGCCACTTGGACTCATGTGATCCTCCCACCTCAGCCTCCCAAGTAGCTAGAACTACAGGTGCATGTGATTGTGCCCAGATAATTTTTTTTTTTTTTTTTTTGTTTTGAGACGGAGTTTCACGTTTGTTGCCCAGGCTAGAGTGCAATGGCACGATCTTGGCTCACTGCAACTTCCACCTCCCAGTGACTCTTTTGCCTCAGCCTCCTGAGTAGCTGTGATTACAGGCACATGCCACCATGCCTGGCTAATTTTTTAATATTTTTAGTAGAGACAGGGTTTCACCATGTTGGCCAGGATGGTCTTGAACTCCTGACCTCAGGTGATCCACCTGCCTCGGCCTCCCAAAGTGCTGGGATTACAGGCGTGAGCCACTGAGCCTGGCTGTGCCCGGATAATTTTTAAATTTCTGCAGATATGGGGTCTCATTATGTGCTCAGGCTGGTCTTGAACTCCTGGGCTCAAACGACCCTCCCACCTCGGTCTCCCAAAGTGCTGGGATTACAGGCCTCAGTCACTGTGCCCTGCCTTGGTGGTTAAATTCTAATCACAGTACTCATGGCAGCTCATCATTGATTGAGAATTTAGGATGCACTGAGCAATCACTGTGCTAAGCAAGTGCTTCCCATGGATAACTCTCCGCCAGATCCCAAGGAGGAAGGCACTACCATTAGCTCTCATTTAATGATGAGGAAAGTAAGATCTGGAGAAGCTAAACCATGTGCCCAAGACACTCAGCCCCCTAGTGGTGCTTGGAGTTTGACTCGAGAGCCAGAGCATGGCCTGCTAGGACACACTGCTGCCCAAGTGTTCCCCTCTGCCTTCCTGATTACCCTCCATTCTCCCACCGCCACCCTAGTCCCCCAAAGTAAAACAGAATGAATAGCTCACCCGCAGCGACTCTCCCGGGAGAAGGAATGAGAACTCCGCCCATGTCGAAAATCACTGCTCTATAGGTGCTGCCTCCAAGGTGCGTCCATCGGTGGGACCCCTGGTGCCTGCGCTGGATGTGTTTCAGGAAGGCTGTCCTCCACGCCCACTGGAGACAGGAGGACTGGAAACAGCTCCTTACACACATGGTGAAGCCGAGGCTGTGTGGGAAGAAGGCACAGGGCGTGACGTGCCTGCACTGCCTCCCACGCAGGCCTCCATCCTGGAGTCAGAGGGGCCAGCCAGACATCTCTAACCCATCTCCAACAGGCACTTCGAATCACACCCACAACTGACCTCAGTGTCTCCTCCCTCCCTGGCTACTCGGTCAAGGGCTCCATCGCCCACTCGGCTGCCCAAGCTAGAAAGCTGGGACTTACCCGACTTTCCGCAGTCTCAACCTCACCACATCCCATCTAGTTCTGTGCTGTCAAATCTTCCTCCTGAGAATCTCATCTACCTCTTTGTATTCTCACTGCCACCATCTTGCCCATGGATCCTAACTGGCCCCCTTGCCTCTTCTCAGATCTCTCTCCAATTCTTTTTTTTGAGGCAGAGTCTCTGTCACCCAGGCTGGAGTTCAGTGGCACGAATTTGGCTCACTGCAACTTCCGCCTCCCAGGTTCAAGCAATTCTCCTGCCTCAGTCTCCTGAGTAGCTGAGACTACAGGCGCCGGCCACCACGCCTGGCTAATTTTTGTATTTTTAGTAGAGATGTGGTTTTGCCATGTTGGTCAGGCTGGTCTCAAATGCCCGACCTCAGCTGATCCACCCACCTCGGCTTCCCAAAGTGTTGGGATTACAGTCGTGAGCCACCGTGCCTGGACTGTTTTTTCTTTTTCTTTTTTTCTTTCTTTTGTTTTTTACTTCGAATATTTTCTATTATAGTTGGTCGAGTTTGTAGATGTGGAACTCAGATACAGAGGGCTGACTATATATGAGAAACACATTATATTCAAGATTTACCATTTACCACTTAAGAGTCCTTTCTCTAGGTGCTTATAGAGGTTGAGTATCCTTTATCCCAAATGTTTGGAACCAGAACTAGTTCAGATTTTGGATTTTGGTATATCTGCATATATATAATGAGCTATCTTAGGGTTGAGACCAAGTCTAAACATGAAATTCACTTATGTTTCATATACATCTTATACACATAGACTGAGAGTAATTTTATACAATATTTTAAATAATTTTGTGCATGAAACAAAGTTTGTGTTAAGTACTTATGTGTGTGGAATTTTTCACTATGGCATCGTGTTGGGGGTGTTCAAAAAGTTTCGGATTTTAGATCATTTCAGATTTTGGATATTTGGTTTAGGGACGCTCACTCTGTACAGTTTTCTGAGTCCTGGCCTGGCGCGGTGGCTCACGCCTGTAATTCCAGCACTTTGGGAGGCCAAAGCAGGTGGATCACCTGAGGTCGGGCATTTGAGACCAGCCTGACCAACATGGCAAAACCGCATCTCTACTAAAAACACAAAAATTAGCCAGGCGTGGTGGCCGGTGCCTGTAGTCTCAGCTATTCAGGAGACTGAGGCAGGAGAATTGCTTGAACCTGGGAGGCGGAAGTTGCAGTGAGCCAAATTCGTGCCACTGCACTCCAGCCTGGGTGACAGAGACTCTGCCTCAAAATAAAATAAAATAAAATAAATTCTGATTTTGAAGTATTTCAGATTTCGGATATTTGGATGGGGATGCTCAAACTACAGAGTTTTTGGAGTTCTTTTGGCCCCACTGAAGTGACTCCCATAAACTCAGAGGCTGTTTACCAACCTGTTTTGTGCTCTCCTGATTTCCAGTAAGCTTTTAAACTGTAGAAATCACATAAAAAGCTTAAAGATTTTCTCCAGGTGCGGTGGCTCATGCCTGTAATCCCAGCACTTTGGGAGGCCGAGGCAGGTGGATCACAAGGTCAGGAGATCGACACCATCCTGGCTAACACAGTGAAACCCCGTCTCTACTAAAAATACAAAAAATATTAGCCAGGCGTGGTGGCAGGCGCCTGTAGTCCCAGCTACTTGGGAGGCTGAGGCAGGAGAATCGCTTGAACCTGGGAAGTGGAGGTTACAGTGAGCTGAGGTTGTGCCATTGCACCCCAGCCTCGGCAACACAGCAAGACTCTGTCTCAAAAACAAAAAAAAAAGAATAGTTGAAAGAAAGTATAATGATCTCCTGTTATAACTTTCATCTAGACTCACTATTACCATCTGGCCGTATTTGGTTATCTCTATACACGGGTGTATATAGGTATGCATATGTATATGTGCGCATGTATGTGTGTTCTGTGTGTCTTTTATTTCTGAACCATTTGCAAGTAAGTTTGGGGAACAGTTACCAGGCTACTGCAGTGATCTGTAAGTAGAAATGATGGTGTTTTGTGGTGTGAGGGTGTCATTGTAAGTGCTAGGAGGAGGCGCTGCTGCAGTGATCTGTAAGTGGAAATGATGGTGTTTTGTGGTGTGAGGGTGTCATTGTAAGTGCTAGGAGGAGGTGAGTATAGGACATCTTAGGAGCACACAGGAGAGACTCCTAATGAGTCTTTTCTGGTAGACAGAAGGGGTTTCATGAAGACGGCGACTGGTAACCTACAACCCAAAGGACTGTTTGGAATTAGGCAAGCAATAGGTGGAACAGAGCATTCCAGAGGAAAAGAACAGTGGATGCAAAGGTCTGGAGCAGGAGGAGAACATGCGTTTGAGGAAACTACATGTAGACGTGCATGTCCAGATCATCCCAGGTTGAAAAAATGGGGAATTGCTACGGAAAGGAAGCAGACCTTTTGTTTGTTTGAGACAGAGTCTTGCTCTGTCGCTCAGGCTGGAGTGTAGTGGTGCAATCTTGGCTCACTGCAACCTCTGCCTCCCAGGTTCAAGTGATTCACCTGCCTCAGCTTCCCGAGTAGCTGGGATTACAGGCACCCGCCACCAAACCTGGCTAATTTTTATACTTTTAAAAGAGCTGGGGTTTTGCAGTGTTGGCCAGGCTGGTCTCAAACTGCTGACCTCAACTGATCCGCCCGCCTCGGCCTCCCAAAGTGCTGGGATTGCAGGCGTAAGCCACCACACCTGGTGGGAGTAGATCTTAGAGGGCCTTTTAAGCCAGGCTTAGGAACCAAGAGTTTATTTGGAGGGCAATGGGGAGCCACTGAAGATTTTAAATGGAGTTAGGATGTGATCAGATTTGCAATTTTGAAAGAATACTCTGACTGGAGGGTGATTAAAGAATTGGAGAGAGAGCCAGGCACGGTGGCTCAAGCCTGTAATCCCAGCACTTTGGGAGGCCGAGGCGGGTGGATCACAAGGTCAGGAGTTCGAGACCAGCCTGGCCAAGATGGTAAAACCCCGTCTCTACTAAAAATAAAAAATTATCTGGGCGCGGTGGCATGCGCCTGTAGTCCCAGCTACTTGGAAGGCTGAGACAGGAGAATTCCTTGAACCCGGGAGGTGGAGGTTGCAGTGAGCCGAGATCGCGCCACTGCACTCCAGCCTGGGCGACAGAGCGAGACTCCATCTCAAAAAAAAAAAAAAAAAAAAAAAGAATTGGAGAGAGATCTGAGAAGAGGCAAGGGGGCCAGTTAGGATCCATGGGCAAGATGGTGGCAGTGAGAATACAAAGAGGTAGATGAGATTCTCAGGAGGAAGATTTGACAGCACAGAACTAGATGGGATGTGGTGAGGTTGAGACTGCGGAAAGTTGGGTGAGTCCCAGCTTTCTAGCTTGGGCAGCTGAGTGGGAGATGGAGCCCTTGACCGAGTAGCCAGGGAGGGAGGAGACACTGAGGTCAGTTGTGGGTGTGATTCGAAGTGCCTGTTGGAGATGGGTTAGAGATGTCTGGCTGGCCCCTCTCAACTCCAGGACGGAGGCCTAGTTCAAGACCAACCTGTCCAACATGGTGAAACCCTGTTTCTACTAAAAAGACACACACACACACGCACACATACACACACAAATTAGCCAGGCATGGTCGTGTATGCCTGTAATCCCAGCTACTTGGGAGGCTGAGGTACAGGAATCGCTTGAACCCGGGAGGTGGAGTTTGCAGTGAACCGAGATCCCGCTACTGCACTCCACATTCCAGCCTGGGTGATAAGAGTGGGACTCTGTCTCAAAAACAAACAAAAAAACCCCAATAAAAGTAATAGTACAACAATCAAAAATACAAATAAAAAATACAGTTTAACAACTATTTACACAGTATTTACACTGTATTAGGTATTATAAGTAATTTAGAGATTATTTAACTCGTACCCATTTACCCTAAGAATACTGCGCTGGCAGCGAGCTACTCTTTCTCTCTCTTTTTCTTTCTTTCTCTTTTTCTTTTTTCTTTCTTTCTCTTTCTCTCTCTGTCCTTCCTTCCTTCTTTCCTGCCTTTTTTCCTTCCTCCCTTTCTCCCCTTCTCTCTTTCTCTTTCTTTCTTGACAGAGTCTTGCTCTATTACCCAGGCTGGAGCGCAGTGGTGCAATCTCGGCTCACTGTAACCTCCACCTCCCAGGTTGAAGCAATTCTCTTGCCTCAGCCTCCTGAGTAGCTGGGACTGCAAGTGTGCACCACCATGCCCGGCTAACTTTTTAATTTTTTTAGTAGTTGGGATTTAACCATGTTGCCCAGGCTGGTCTTGAACTACTAACCTCAAGTGATCCTCCTGTCTCAGCTTCCCAAAGTGCTGGGATTACAGGTGAGAACCACTGCACCCAGCCTGTTTTCACGTCTATGTGTTTCTATAGTCATAAACTCCTTAAGACAAGGAGTATCTTAGTCATCTTGGTATACATCCCATGGGACTTAGTACAGTTTTTTGTGTTTGTTTTTTTTTCCCCCGAGATGGAGTCTTGCTCTGTCACCCAGGCTGGAGTGAAGTGGCACCATCTCAGCTCACTGCAACCTCCGCCTCCCGGGTTCAAGCAATTCTCCTGCTTCAGCCTCCCGAGTAACTGGGATTACAGGCACCTGCCACCACACCCGGCTAATTTTTGTATTTTTAGTAGAGACGGGGTTTCACTATGTTGGCCAGGCTGGTCTCCTGACCTTGTGATCCGCCCGTCTTGGCTTCCCAAAGTGCTGGGGTTACAGGTGTGAACCACCGCGCCCGGCCTTTAGTACAATTTTTAGACACATAGCAGGTGCTCCATATGAGTTGGAAGGATGCATAAACTGGAGATATCAGAAAATAGGGAAAAGCTGGGGACCGGTTTAGTCCTTGGGAGCCACAAATAGCTGAAACATTCCCAACGTGCCCAACTCTGGCTAACAGCTGTCTGTTACTGACATCTACCATAAAGATTTGTCTTCTTGCTGACACTCAGAATGGGATTAGCATGATAATGCAGATTTGCTACCTAAACGATGCTCTCATAAATATGCACACACAGTGTGTGTTGTCATACATTAAGAAGATGGTTTGTTTGGTAAAGAGATAAAGAGTGTCGTCTCTGGATTCAGATTGCCTGGATTTAAATTCTGGCTCTGCCACTTACTACGTGTGAAATCCTGAGCCAGTTACTCTTTCTCTATGCTTCAGGTTACTCCTCTGTAAAACAGGGACAATTATAGGGAGACATTTAAAACACGTTTCAATTATCCAGTGGATTTAGAGTTTACAAGTTGACATTAAGAACAGAAAAGCACTTGAATACCTCCTTTCACTGACCGTCAGAAAGCCTTCCAAGGTTGCCAAGGAGCTTTGCAAACCATGAGAAAATCCTGCCTTGAGCCATTTCAGTCTGGTAGCACATGTAATAATAAGGATAACGATGATAATATCCAGCGTTTATCGATGGCTTCTGTGTCACTCACTATGCTAAGTGTTCAACACACTTTACCTCATTTAATCCTCACTACAATCCCTTGCGGAAACGGTATTGTTATCCTTGTTTTACAGATGTGGGGGGTGACTGCAGAGGGAGATAAGTGGTTTGCCCAGGGTTACATAGCTAGACATAAATGGCAAGCAAGAGTGGCATCCTCACTTTTAGTTCCAGGGACGCGTTCCTCTTCTAGTAGGAAGTGGGATGAAGGTGTGGGGAAGGGAGGCAGTTGGTTGTGAGACATTCGATGACAGCAGTATTGTTATAGTTTCTACTTAACAACTAGGGCAATAAGCAAATAACAAAGGAAAAGACCCAGACAAAATGTTCAAGAACATTTAGGCTTTTAAAATAGTCTGAAGTCTTATAAACGCACAACACTCACCTGTTTAATAAACCCACACAGTTCCCTATAACAAGTACTGCCCTTCGTAATGTGCAGGTAATACTGTGAATATTTACTGTGAATGGATTTTCCTTGTACTTCTGCACTGTCCTTCCCCTTCTGTCTTTTGATCAAGTGAAGGTTGCTCAAGTTGACAGATCTTTTTCTGTGACTGTGAAACAGGTTGCTGCACGTTCTTCCCCATGGGGCTAGAGCCCTTTATCTTGGTATCATGAGTTGTATTGTTTATTGCTAACTCTGGATCTTAGGGGCTGATCCCTATCATCCCATCAAGGATTTTCTAAGACCTAATAATACCCTCTTGGTGTAAGACTGGAAGTTCAACTAATATCGACTGTAATGAGAATAGTGGGCTCAGTAGCTACCAACTATGAAGCACTTTTTAGAGACCGGATCCTGTGCCAAGTGCTTTCCATGCATTGTCTCCTTGAATTCTCTCAACGATGCCATGTTGGCTGGGTGCAGTGGCTCATGCCTTTAATCCCAGCACTTTGGGAGGCTGAGGTGGGTGGAACACTTGAGGGCAGTGGTTTGAGACCAGCCTAGCCAACATGGCAAAAGCCCATGTCTACTAAAAATACAAAACTTACCTTGACTGTTGGCGCCTGTAATCCCAGCCACTTGGGAGGCTGAGGAGGAGAATCACTTGAACCTGGGAGGCAGAGGCTGCAGTGAGCCAA